CCCACCTATAATGGGCTTAGATCTTAGGACTTTCTGCGCATGACAACCCCAGCTAGGATCGCTTTTCGGGTGCTGCTGGTTCCTGAACAATTAGGTAAACCCTAAACCCTGAACCACCCTAAACCCTCAACCCTAAACCCTGAACCCTAAAGCCTAAACTCCCGAGACCTTCCGTGCTCCCCCAAACGAGACAGCAAAGGCTAAAGGTGGCGACAGGTGCACAACAGGATTGGCTTGGGCTCCGCTGCAGCTCTCCGTGAGGGTTGGGGTTTGTCGCAGATTGGGTTTAGGGTTTAGGGGTTTGGGTTTAGGGTTTAGGGTTTTAGGGGGTTTAGGTCTCGAAGTTTTAGGGGCTAGAAGGTTTATTAAACACTCGGCGTCGTCGTTTCTGTTTGACTTCCTTTGATAAGCGTCTTGCTTCCTCCATAGTAGTTGCTTTTTGTGCTTTGTGTTTAGGATCCTATAAGGAAGTCCCAAAAAGGAGCCTATGAGTAGGGCTTAGAAATTCAGGGTTTTGATCGGACTAGGCTTTTCAGCTGCGTGAAATGGCTCAGGGCCTAAAGCTTACCGGAGCTCATACGGGTTCAAGGGGTCTGGCTTCCGGGTTTTGGGTGAGCTCACAGCATCTTAGCCCAAGAACTTCTGTCTGGTGCTTAGCAGGGAATGGGGGAATGGGTTATAGGGACTACTATAAGGGACCTTAAGGGACTATCATAGGGATCCATTCCCCCATTCCCTACTAAGCACCAGACAGACTTTTGTATGTCTCATGCAGACACCATGGGTGTCGAACCTTCCCGGTCGTCGCTTGCACGACGCGGACGAGAGCCCAAGCAAGCCTGTCAACCTCTCAACCGAACTCGAAGGGTTTAGGGTTTAGGGTTTAGGGTTTGGGGCACCTGCTGCGCTACCGTCTAAAATTTAAAAGCCGGGTTAAAATATATCCTTCGCGTTCTCGTCCCGGCTTGGCTGGGGTGGGAGAATCGCACTCACAGCTCATCATCGAGATCTGGATCCATGATCTCCTGGGCTTTGAAGTAACCAGGGAGAAAAAAGTATAGACTTTTATTTCAGAATGGTTCCTTTAAGGAACAGGTCCCAAAAAAAGTATTAAAGCATGGTACTCCAAGGCCCAGTATAGGTCCTTTGGGGGCAATGTATAGACTATTTGGGCACATGGACCCTATATACACTACACCCTGACCCCTATGGTACCCTAATAGAATCCTTATGACACCCTTAAAAGAACCCTTAAAGGAACCATGGTATATACTATTTGGGTACAAAGCCCTAAACCCTAAACCCCAAACCCTAAACCCTAAACCCTATTAAAGTGTGGTACTCCAAAGCCCAGTCTCCTGATTCTTCGAATTCCAGGCCCAGATGTTGGCGGACCACTTCTCGCCGGCCTGGACCTTGCAGAGCATTGGACATGGGAGGTTCCGAAATCCAAACCCCCAAAGGGATCTAAAAAATAGATCCCCTAAAAGGGTTCCTATAAAGTACCCTTTAGTAGTTAAGGTCCCTAATTAGGGGTCTATTTTTTAGATCCTTTTGGGGGTCTGGGAGCTTAGGGGTACCTTATTTTGGGGTCCTTATAATAAGGATCCTACTCTTTGCGGGTGCTATATAAGGGTCCCCTATTTTCGGAAACCCCCACATGGGAATCCCCTGTTGTGATGGGCCAGATAAGCCTGTGTGTCTGTACCACAGTCCCATATTCTACCGCCACAGTCTCATGCCATACTGCACCTCTCATATGCGCACTCGCCCCTGAAGAACAGCATTATGACTTAAAAGACCCCACTGCACAATATCTGACCATCTGACAGTTCCAAGTCTCCCCACCGGTTGCATAACGCAAAACCGCTTGAGCTTCGCCCATCTTACTACCCAGATCTCCTATACATACATATGTATATATGTGCGTATTTATGTATGTATGTATGTATGTATGTATGTACGTATGTATGTATGTATGCATGCGCAACTAAAACACATACACATACACGTCTCTTGGGCCATCGTCGTTCACCAGACTTAGCACGTTGGCCATGGGTTCCAACGTTTCCAGCATAGATACTCCAATCTCACCTAATTCCTAACTAGGAACCGCTACCTGATCATGCTTGAGATGTTGACTATTACGTGTCAAGTGACACTTTGATCATTGTCCGTGCAAAGACCTGGAGACGTTACGCCTTGGACACATGTATCCTGAACAAGTACGACCACTACTCCTAAGGCATCCATGTAATATGTATGCTCTCAGAAGCGCCCAATCTCTGTTCTGGTTACCACTAAGGCCCCTATACGACGGTTGATGATACAAATATTGCTCGCATTATCTTAGGGACCCCAAGCTATGGGAGTTGTGGCATATTCTTTATTATGGGTAATGAAGAATTTATATCATCAACAGTATGGACCCACAGCATATGCCTGTTCGGTTCAGGTTTCAGGATCGGGGTTCCGGGTTGAAACTAGAAGCCAGGAAGTGGATTAACATTATGCTTATGGCCTTCAGGTAAAAGTGTACAGAATCGCAGCACTCATCATCCTAACACCAGGTTCCAACTTTCTGGATTTCCCTAGATAAGGAGAAGAGTTTAGTTTGGGTTCGGTCAGACATGCAACATGCATCAGTCCGCGTCAGTCGGGTCTGGTGTGCATGTGTGCCAAAAGAACGATTGGGGGGGGGCATTTGCGAGTGTAGGGATATTCGGGCTACGGTGTAGGGTGCGGTCCCTCTCTCTCTCTCTCTCTCTCTCTCTCTTTCTCTGTCTATATGTATATGATATGACCTGCATTCAATACGAATAGTTAGACCAGTAACAACAATACAAGCAATACTAAAGACTACAGTAATAAAGTTCAATGATCGTAGCATGTTTAGTATTCCAGCTATTTAGGTTCTTTGCCCCAAACCTACTTCCCCTGAATTGCCTTCGCTTGGGAACACCTTGAACATCCAAGCCAAAGGCCTGAACAGCAAGCCACGAAGCTCGAGCCCTTACACCCCGACAGCTTGGGTTAGAAAGTGGTCTCTGATAGGATTATCCGTTGCTTAGGGGCTGAGTACCCTAGCCCCAAAACAGGTTAACCTTTTGAATTATAGTAGGATTATAAGAGCCCCAGAAGGTTAAAGGTTACCTACTCAGTCACTAAGTGAGTGTAGCCGGGTTTGTCGTGGGATTCTGAAGCCGCTAGCCACGGCAACGCCTGTTCAACATCTCCATCTCCAAGCCCCAAAAGACCCCCGCCCAAACTCATCATCCGAAAGCCCAAACCCTAAAAAACCCAAATCCTAAAACCCGAAAGCCAACTCCTAAAAACCCAAATCCTAAAACCCGAAGTCCAGACACCCGAAAGCCATCCCCTACACACGAAAGCCTAAACCTGACCCCCAGCAGCCAGAAGAAACCCAACATGGGTTAAAGGAAAGTTAGGGTATATAGGGCTTCTATAAGGTATATAGACCTTAGGGGACGGCAGATATGGCGAGTCAACCGTGGAACTCCCATTGCATGGACGTCGAAGCAAAGTATCCCTAAACCCACCCTAAACCCGTTTAACCCCTGAAACCTCAACCCTGAACCCCCAAACCCCCAAACCCTAAACCCTAAACCCCTAAATAACTAAACCCCTAAACCCCTGAACCCCTGAACCCCTAAACCCTGAACCCTAAGTTCGATCCAACTCCCACATGGCCCCCTGCGGGACCTTGCAGCCCGCATGGTTGGAGGAGCGATCCAAGCGGCCGTCTGCATGCAAATTGTAGAACCTCACAGGCAAACCAGCCACTCAAAAAGGTTAGAGGTCTAGGGGTTTAGGATTTAGGGTTTAGGGTCTAGAGTTTAGGGTTTAGGGCTGAGTACCCTAGCACAAAAAAGGTTAACATTTTGAGTTATAGTAGGATTATAAGAGCCACAAAAGGTTAAGGGTTACCTACTCAGGCACTAAGGTTAAGTTTTTTTCTTGAAATGCTTTGGGGCTCAGATAAGTTTAGGGCTTAGGGGTTTAGGGGTTTGGCGCTTAGGGGTTTGGGGTTTAGGGTTTAGGGGTTTAGGGTTTACCCCAAACTTTAGACCCCCTAAGTGAACACAACCATATAGAAGTACAGTAGTATACCAAAAACCCGGAAGCCGCAATGCGGGGGCCTGAACTCTTGGAATCAGGTTTTGGTGGGTTTTGTAGTAATATACTCATAACAATAAGGAACCCTGAAACAGCTTTGAGGGCTCGGGGAGTTGTTTTGTGTAGTTATGTTATTTCAGTCGTCGACTCGAAAGCACTGCACCCCTCAAGCTCTGACTGTATAATCCCCCGAAACGAGCCGATTAAGACGCCTCCGAAGACACACCACACCCAATGCAAACCCTCAGTGCAAACTCCTCAACCCTCCGCGTTTTGGACGTCTAAACTATACCAAATTCCTGAGCTTGCCATAGATATGCACAAGTCCACATAAACGAACGTTGCCCACACCCTGGGTGGGGAAATCTTATAAATGCTGCTGCCCGAGGCTTTGGGTTTAGGGGTTTAGGGGTTACGGGTTTAGGGTTTAGGGGTTTAGGGTTTAGGGGTTTAGGGTTTAGGGTTTAGGGTTAATTTAACTTAAACCTTAAGAGCCTTTAAACATTGGAAACCTGAGGCTCTGCTGCCAGGCCGAGGCGCAACACAGCCTTACCTCGCTTCGCCGGCACCTGAAACCCCCCCAACCCTACACCCTAAACCTTAATAAGCCCTGTACCTTTTCAAGTGCTTAAACCCTAAGCCCTATACCTTTTGAAGTGCCTTTGGGGCTGAGACCTTAAACCCTAAACCCTAAACCTTAAACCCTAAACCTGAAACCCTAAACCTGAAACCCTAAACCTTAAACCCTAAACCCTATACCTTTTGAAGTGCTTTGGAGCTGAGGGGGGGGCTCCGTCCGTTTTGGAGCTGATGGACCCTGGGTTGCTCGGGGCTTGAGGGTTAGGGTTTAGGGTTTAGGGTTTAGGGTTTAGGGTTTAGGGTTTAGGGTTTAGGGGTTTAGGGGTTTAGGGTTTAGGGTTTTGGGCTTGGAGTAGAGTGGAGCTGTTTCTGAGTGCAGGCTTGACGGTTCGGGGTTACGCATTGTTCGGCTTCGGGGCTTTGGTCTGGAGGTTTCGGGTTTATAGGGTTTCGGGTTTAGGGTCTCGGGTTTGGGGTTTAGGGTGTAGGGTTTGGGGTTTAGGGTTTAGGGTTTAGGGATTAGGGTGGGATTAGAGAGGGGTGGGGTGGCTTTATGCAGGACGCGCGAAGCGTCTGTAAGCCATAACCACCGCAGCGACTGACAGTGTTCTGCGTCGTCATGCAGTCATGATGTTACACAGTTTCCCATGACCAAGAATGAATTATAGTAGCAATGGTGGTCAGAACGCCCACAGCTCTAAACACTGAACCCCGACAAAGCTCCAGTGTGGAGGTGGGAAGACTTCAATTCCCCTTCCCTTAAGGGTCCTATGTACGTATAGTGGAATGGAGCCCCAAACGCTTGTATAGGAGCCTTATTTCTTGGTATAGGGTTTTGGGGTATATTAGACTATAGTTCTAATAAGGAACTCCCAAAAGAGTATAGGTTTTAGGCCCCAAGCCCTACGAACCTGATGAAGCCAAGCCATCATTTCAACCCTGAAAGGCCCCCCACAATAGAGAACCCTGGTACATCCCTCACGGAACGAACCCTCGCGTTCCACTTTAATGACCCGTATAGTAGCCCCTATCACCATGACTCTTGGCAGCCGTTATGGCCGTATGGCAGCGCTTACGGTAACCTTTCTTCTTCAATAACCGGGCCCGCAAAAATTCAAAACCTTCGAAGATAAACCAACCAAAAATATGAGGCCAAAAGATTAAAGTTCTCCCATCGGCTATCTTGGACTAGGCTATACCATGCTATATTTTGCTATACTGTAATATTCTTACTAGACTAGACTATGCTATATCATACTGCTATATACTATACTACACCATATTTTATCCTCTTCTCAACCCTAAACCCTAAACCTTAAATCCCTAATCCCTAAACCCTAAGTCCCTAAACCCAAAGCCCCAAACCCTAAGCCCGAACCCCTAAACCCCTAAA